CTATCTGAACATGCTCAAAATACACAGCTGAGTGTTGTTTATACGTTCTGCTTGTCCAGGATGCTAAAATACCTCATTTCAAATGAAAAAATCCAAAAAATTCCAAGTAAAAAAAAGTCGGTATTTTTCGGTATCGGTATATATCGATGTTCGGTGTTTTCGGTATCGGTATTTTCGGTATTCGGTATACCGATACCGGTGCATACCTAGGTGGGTTTCGTTTATTTTCTCATGCTGGAAAAGAATTGGAAGTCCAGTTTCAGTTCAAAATATTTCTACTATAGTGTATACTTTCACATTAGATCAATGTACATATACAGTACATTGGATCCGCCGCCATCACATACTTTTATACAAGTGACGAGAAAAACCTGAACTAGCTTAAAATTAGATGACTATAGCTGCAAGAAACGTTTAAATAAATCACACTATTCGCAGACTAAGTTTGGGAGAGTAATGTGAACAGGAAAGCTAAAAAACAAAATTTGCCTTTTAAGCTGATAATCGTCCAAGGTTCGTTGGAAGGATTTTTGCAGCCTTAGTCTTCTAATTTTAAGCTAAATACTGCTAGTTCAAGTCTTTCTCGGAAAAAAAGAATGCTAGGCAGATATACGATTTAGAGACTGAAATAAATGCAAAAAGTCGATGAAATCTGTGAAGCTCTTTACCTAGCAGCCATTCTGATGACAGTTTGAAGCAGACTGCGCGCTGACATTTTGCGTTTCTCGACAAATTATATGAACAGAAGACGTTCCAATGGTGTGGGTAGATGATCCTAGTGTTGAGAAAAATGAATTTATGTTCTGCATTGACCTGCTGAGCAACTAAGATGTCACTACTAACTCATACTGAGAGGCATTGTACCGGTACACAAGTGTTTTTTTTGGGAACGACTTGTTGCGTGATTTTCTTATTGAAGGAAAGAATATATACTAGCCGCTACTTTTTAGACCGCCGTTTGCGATAGAGTTTTTGTGTTTATGTGTTGAAATGCATAATTCATTAGTGTGCTAAAATAAGGGTAATCTTAAACTAGTTTCAAAGTAAAGTTTTAAACTATCATGAACATAATTAAGTATGAATACTGGCATATAGGTGAACTCCGTTGAAATTCAGTAGATGAAATTTTAAAATTCAAGCCGGAAAATTAAAAGAACTTATTTGCAAAAGAGAATTTCTATTGGAAAAAAGTAGTTATAGCGATATTCGATGATGTCACTACTTGATAACAGCATTTTTGAAATGTAGCATGGCGACACCATCGAATATCTGTGTAACTGCTTTTTGCCAATAGAAATCCTCTTTTGCAAATAAGTTCTTTTAATTTTTCGGCTTGAATTTTAAAATTTCGTCTATTGAATTCAACGGAGTTTACCTTTATCTGAAAGTGCATTTGTATCACTATAGCAGACGCACTTCTCGCACAGTTCACATACCAGTCAAAGACTTTGATCACATAAAGAAGTCTGACACTTTTTTTCACAGATTGACTAAACGGAATTTGCGAAAGCTTCTCTAGAGGATTTCCAGTTTGTCTGGTTAGATATCTGTAAGTAATCTGTACTGCTTTTGGTTACAAAAGGGCTTTTTGGGGATTTTGAGAAAGTTGTCTAAGAGCCTCGAAAAAACGGGTCTTCGAATAATGGTTTTTTTCCGGATACTTATGCAATTAAAATTTTTCTGAAAACACAGTTTGTAGAGCAAAACTTTCTGATCAAAATAAGACTGCCCACAACTCTGTATGACCTTGCGTCAAAAGTTACAGACATTTCTCTAGAAGTCCTAAATCGAGTATTTCATACAGTGTTTAATACAGCGTTTTCACTATATAAGAGTTACACCTGAAGTGCGTCCTAAGATTTTTAATACCGGTCTGCCGTAGAGAGTTCATTCTTTTTTTGTTTTAAAGAGGAGAAGAAAGGATTTTTCGGACTTCGGACGTTGTTGGTTGCCTGGAAAACCAATAAAGACTTAACTTAAAAAATCGGCGCCGGTCAGTCGATGTAGTTAGGTGTCTAGTTTAAAATAAAACAAACCCGAACTCTCCAGCTTGAAGTATATTAAAAAACTTGGGACGCCGTTCAGGGTCCTTTTTAAACCTTGATTTCTGGAAAACTCCTAAACCGTAAGACTTCGAGACAAAAAATAAGTGAATAGTGAATTTTTTAATATTTGGTGAAAACAGCCTGAAAACTCTAATTTTCGTAAAACTGGCTTTTCGGTAGATTTTTACATCATTATTATTTAAAATGTCTATCAGTTCATTTCTTAATTAAGATCTCATGGTAGCATTCTAAATCACTGATCTGATTGTGTTTTACTTTTTTTGGAAGTAGCCGGCATGAGTAAAAATCATAAAATCACACAGTCTTTCTGATAGATATTCGTAACGTTTCAATTTTGGGTTTCTAATGTGCCTAGCCACTAAGCATTTGAGACTGAATTTCATCACATCTTTTATAAATAGTTCTATTGTCCGTAATCTTGTACATTGTAAAGGTATCTGATTGTATCGGTTAGCGATATCCCAATGACAATTGGCTTCATTCGGTTTCTGCATAATTCCTTTAATTATAAGAATATCTTTATTTGGAACTATGGATCTATAATAACTAGCAATAAGATGTAATGGTATATTTCGATTAACATTCAACACATTGACATTTAAACCACCACAATCGGTTAGTAATTGAACTGCGGACAATGACGGAAATCTTCAAAAAGAAAACAACTGTAAACAAGTGCATAAGAATTTCGACTAAACGGATAGTTTTTAATGAGAATAAAAGCACTAGACATACTTGTAATAGAGTATCACATTATGATTATCCATTTTTGTATGTGCATTTATAGCCAAATGTACAAGAGTATCACCATTAGATGTGTGAATATTCATTCGATTGAAAGTATAAATCAATGAATCGAACTGTTTTTGTACGATGACATCGTCCTTTATTTGATTTAATACCTACAAGAAGAAGCACAATTTATGATGTATATCTTCAGTGTAAGCTTATACAGTACTTGTGATGCGATTACCACTAAATATAACATTGTAGGTAAGTTTTTATCGATTTTCGCTTGAGATATAACTCGTTTTAAGGCTTTAGATGCACTCAGCATTACATTATGTAATACTTGAAATGGAAAACATTCTTCATGATTAATAATTTCAAAGAAAATCCCAGCCAAAACGAGTAAAATATCATCCTCATTATCATCGTGTTCACTTATATTTAATGCATGTGATGATTTTGTATACCATTTTTGTTTAGCATAAATTCGACCGAAATGTTTCAGTGGATAAACTAATTGTGGATTTCTTTGACCAAGAATTCTTTCGCGCATCATCAATACTTCCATTTGTAATGCTTCAGAACAATGCCGAATTGACTTCAGTTTGACATTCTGAAGCTGTTTGACATTCTTTATAATTATTATAAACGTTCATTGCTGGTACTAGATTTGTCTTTGAGAATGACGCTTTTTCACGTAACTTCATTGCTCGTAGCAAGCAGTCATAACTATATTCTATTCTTTTTCTATAACAGTAATACGAAGTACCTAATAATTCGAGGGCTTCAATTTGTTCGATACCGGTACAATAATGATTTTCAATAAAATAATCAACAAGTCCTTCATATAACTGTTCAGCAGCTGTCATTAATGGTGTCATTGATGTGAGTTTTTAATATTTCTAGTTACATTTTCTGACGACAACAATAATTGAACTATTGACCAGTGCCCTTTTTCGGTAGCCAGGTGTAATGTCGTTGATAAATGTTCATAATTTTGTATATTTGGATCACATCCTAACTGTAAAAAATAATCAACGATCTCCATATGTCCGTAATAAGCGGCTAACATTAATAAAGTTTCATTGTTTACATTCAAATGATGAATGTCAGCTCCGTGCTCTACTAGATACTGAACGATGTCTATATGACGGCATAGGTAGCGGCTTGTAACGGAGATACATTCGTCTGGATTGCATGATTTATATTTGCACCATGTTCGACTAACAGTTGTATGACACTTAAATGATTAAACCAAGAAGCGATCCACCAAGCTGTTGCATTGGATATGATTTCATCATTATAACATATAACTACACTTTCTATTTCAAGATCTGGTTTACATTCGGTTAGAAAGATCTTAACAATCTCGTAATGACCGTTTTTACATGCAGTTATTAATGCTGTACATTTTTGTTCTGTATCATCTTCATATATATGAAGATGATACAGAACAAAAATGTACAGCATTGTACAATATATTTAAATAGATGTTAATGTCATCTATTGGGACAGTATCTAAATATACTTGTATATTCTGTGTCATACCATCTGTGCGCCAAAGATTTCTCCGCCATTTTAAATGCTAGAAAGCTCGTGAAGGTTTTAAAATGAAGGTAAATATCAGCGCTACAACCTAACAAAGCCGGAATTTTTGTTTTCAATTTATTTGTGTACAAAAAACTCGAGTTTTCTAAAACATTAATTTAGGTTTTTCGAAAAAACTGTCTAAAAAAATTAATTTTTTTTTCAAAAATCCGGCTTTGTTAGGTTGTAGGGGCAGGTCTTCTCTGCATTTTGACACCATCCCGAGGTCCGTGTCATTAAAACTGAAAACAAAATCTTTGACACACGGACACCTACTTTTTGACCCTTGATGTAACAATAACTCGCGAAAAACTCAATATTATGAGCTCAAATTTTTACTGAGAACTATATCAATGGTCAGATACATATTCAATAAAAATTTCAGTAAGATTGAGTATTCTGGGAAAAAAAGTTTAGAGGGAAGGGGGGCCCTTAATATATTAAGATTCTGTATTCCAAGGGCTATCTTTTCAATTAGTTTTTTAATTTAAAAGAAATACGACATAGTTGCAAAAGGTAGCGTTACGGAATTTCACTTAATGAAAAATAAGAAACAATATTGTTATAAGCTATTTTATTTGAAAGAGAAAACATTTGAGTTTTTTTCCTCTACTGTCGAAAGAGAAACATGCTCCATTATTATCGGGATAGAGAAATACGATCGATACGATGTAATCCCGAATAAAGAATCTGATACGAAAAGAGAGCTGAACAATAAAATATGAAAGTTCAGGCACACACACTGAGAAAGAAAAAAGGCTGTTTAGCGAGAAATGAAAGGAGAGAGCGAACAAAAGAACACGTTATTGTTCTTCAGAAATCTGACACATTTGGCAAATGATTACAGTCTGTTGATTTCATGGCACTTTTTTGCCACATCACACGGAAAGGTGAGATAGGTTTTGAGCGAAGAAGAACTATTATACGTCTCTTCCAATCTCCTAGCTCTGAATAAGAGTTATTGTTGGTATTCTAGGGATTAGTGGACGGCATTGGTGGATGTGTGAAGAGAATAGGTGTATCAGAATATAATGGTGCGACAAAAATGTGAAAATGCGACAGATTTTGTCAATTTGGTTCGACAGAATTCGTCTAAAATCCTCGTGAAGAAATGTTGAGAAGTGAAATCGACTATTCAAGACAGGGGTGCAACCAGTATCGGTATACCGGTATCGGTACGAATTATAACGCCGACCGGCATTCGGCATTAGTATGAAGTATAATCAGTCGGTCGATATTGTTGATGTTTTGCGGTATGATAAGATCTTTTTCAAAAAATATCGTGTAAATTCAGTTCATTTTGATATATATCTTGCACCAAAATTTCGTTTCAATTATTAAAGTTTTCTGGGCTTATATAAACTTCTTGATTTATAAGATTGAATTGGATTGCTGTTTTCGTAAAAACAGGCGTGTAAATAATCTGCTATACATAATCCAAGCGAAAAGATTAATCTATCCCTTTGATAGTATAAAATAAAGTTCACAGTAAAGAAAAACAAGGAGAAAGTATTTTTATTTAGGCAAAACATGATCAAGACAAGACGGTACCGGTACGAAGTTTGTACACGATGACCGGTACCGGTATCGGTATCGCATTTTTGATACTGGTTACACTCCTGATTCAAGAACACAGCTGACACCTCTATTTGCTCATGTTAAATCAGTACCTGCCATTCAAAACGTTCACTCACTAACTGTACTAGATACAGATAAAATAACAATAATACGTCATTATTCAAATAGTACTGAAAATCGAATATTTTATTTTTTAAGCGTGTTTATCCCATGCGGAATCATCACGTTTTATTCATCAAAAAATACAGGATAATTTCACTGGTGATTAAACTGTGCTTTTTTTATGTTAACGTAATAAATGGATATGATCAGTAATCGAAACAAACCACCCCGCAGTTTATTTTATGCACGCATCTACAGAAATATAGAAGAAAAAGCTTCTACAATAAACAGAGCGAAAAAAAGATGAAATTTCTTAACGACTACTCTTTTCCCTTTTCATCACTCGGCAGTGAGAAAAAAGAAAAAGCAAATAGATATTTAAATAGACCTGATCTTTATCTACAACTTCGTCGTGAGAAATTTTTTCATAGCACCTTTACATTCGAAGCATTTTTTGTTATACTGAAAACATTCGAAAATCACTTCCATTTTTCGAAATTTCGTAACAGTGAGTAATTTCAAGTTTTTTCTCTATCAATGCGAGCTAGGGACTTCAAATTTTCACCACAGCTAGAATTTCACTAACTACACTTGTAATAAAATTTTAACTTGAGGCTCATCCCCGTCAAAAACTAGAGGGATCCAAATCCTAAAAATTGAAATTCCGTAACGTTTGGCCAAGCTGTTTAGCATTAAAATTCCTCCAATACTTCAGTTTGGTAGAGCAAACATTTTTCTACAAAATGAGACATTCGGCAGCTCTAAGTGCTATTTTGTAACTGATCCGGAACGACTGTGCTGGTTGTCATAACGTCGATTCTTAATCGTGCATACCTAATCCCGATCGGAATATATTTTTATATCCCAATTGGGATATGCTTCCTTACGTTATTATGAATGTAAATGATATTAAATTAAAAAGGTGGAATCCAGTGTATTGTAAAACCCAATATTACCCAATAATATTGTACAATATCTTCAATAATGATTGGTATTGGTGTATGCCTAACCACAGATCAGAACTCTTTCAAAACTTTTGACAATGACGTCCTACGCAGTACTGCTAGTGGCCCAAGTTTAAAAGCTCGTATTCGAACTTTTTCTTCCAAAAAAAGATTTTTGATAACGCTTAATCAAGATCATCAAGATCGAATTAAATGAAGATGATGGTAAGATAAGCAAGTTAAATAACTTACAAATTTGCTCTCTGCACAATATTTAAAGACATTTAATGCCTTTAAATGTTGTAGAGAGAGCAAATTTCGATCATAAACTACTAATATACTTGTAGTCCCCAATCATTCAGAACCATAAATTTTCTAATTTCCTGTCTACCGTGCCAAAAACGTCTGCGTCGTTAAAACAACCCATTGGAACTTTTAAATAATTTTAAATTAATACATACTAATTTCTGATTCAAAAAAAAATGAAAAATTACTTCACATCAATTTAAGAGGCTGAATTAATTTAAATTCGTTTGTAGTGAATTAATTTAAATTCGTTTGTAGTAAATTAATTTACATCAATTTCGCAGTTAAAATGAGCTAGAATTAATTTCTACGCTAAAATTAGTTGCAATTAGTTTGAGAAAACATTAAATAATGTAAATTAATTTTAACTGGTTTGAATTAATTTATTTCGAATGGGTTCGTGATAATTTAGTGCTTTAAATTGCTTCAAATTAATTTCTGCTCTCAAATTCATTTAAATAAATGTTTTTATAACAGATTTGGAGGTATTTTTTGCATCACGAGTTTTTTGTTCAGACCTGCAAGAATAAGGTAAAATTTCTTAACTTATCGCTGACTTAACATATTATGAATGCCAATAATTTGATCAAAAGCCACAGCCTCCTGAAGCTCCCATTTGCTTTGAGTTATTCATCAAAGAGAATCATAGCTACTAAACAATTGGACAGTAATTTTTCGGTCATTCTTCTTTTTCAGCTGAAGGCTTCTTTTGGACGGATACCGGGAACAACCTCTCTTGGACATCGAATAAATGATATATTTCGTTTCAAACATAAACCTTTTTCGAAAAATAGAAGTGGTATTCCTTGAAGTTTGAAGATGAATTATAGTATGAAGGAGACAAAAGGAAAAATCTAAAATCCTCGCTCGCCTTCCGACCTGCGTATCCTTCTGCTGGAAGTTTAGGCTGTTAAAATGGATAAGTTTTTCATGCTAGTTTTCTTCTATCAGTAAGAAACTCGCTACGTTAAAGGGCGAACATTCCCAGTCCAATAGACACGGTCGTAAACGACTGTATACGGCCACGTACGGCGATATACATCAGCCGTATACGGTGGTTGTATTACGATGAAATACGGCGGTTTACGACTGCCGTATACGGTGAATTTTCGATGACCTGTGTTCCTTGGAATTCCATCGCAAAATGTATTCTTATAAGTTTTCCGATATGAACTAGTGTTTGTTATGTGATCAAAATGGCATCAAATTGTTCTTTTGATCAACTATCCAGATCCAAAAAAACGGCGCGTTAACGTTCTCAAAACGGCAAAAAAACGACCAGTGTTGCCAATCTCTCGGCGGCGCCTTACAATTTATTTCCAAACAATTATAATTGTATGTATGTGAGTGGTAAGTGAAATTCAAGACGACACAACGCATGGGTGAAGTCCTGAAGCTCTGTATACATCTTCTGTAGAGGATGTTAGAAACGAAAAATAATTTTTTCTAAACTGACTGTTAACTGCCATAAACGGTCACGGCGCAGTTACGGCCGTAAAACGGCCGGCGTACTTACGGTGTAGTTACGGCCTTATTTGCACCGTATACGGCCGTTTACGATGCAAATACGACCACAAACGGTGATTTACGGCGGTCGTATAGTACTGTATACGGTCGTTTACGGCAGTCGCAAAATTGGACTTGGGTTCATTTAGGATCCACCTTAA